AATAGATAAAAAAGTGGTGGGGGTGGGGGGGGGAAGAAACCTCTTTCAAAACTTTCCTGTTGATGATAACTAGTTGTAGGAGTCAGATAGCCGCATGAAACAGAAACCACTTCTGCTTTGGAGAAGCACGCTTTCCCCCTGCTCTGGGTTATAGCTTATGCAAACGCCGTAGCGCTGAGGGCTAGTCTGGTTTCCCTTACATCTTCTCAAAGCGTTTCACTTGTGTTTATAGTACCTTCAAAAGGGAAGCTGGGCAAAGAAGAAAGTAAAACTAGCCTGGTAGGTATGAGGCGTTACGGGCTGATTGGCATATTGGGAGTGTCTCGCTGGCTCGGCAGATGTAGGTTAAAATACTGGCTCGGCAGATGTAGGTTAAAAATACTTGGTTGGTCACAAGCAAAAACAGCCAGTGCCCTGCTTATTCGTGCAACAACAGCCCACGCCGTGCTGGCCACTGCGGCCTCGTGAGAAAGTCTGCGCTGGGACAGCCAGAGCTGAGGCCGAGACGAGGAAAAGGAGGTGTTTGCGCCTCTGTTTTGCAGAGTAAAGCAGATGGCCATGAAAGCAGTACTTCAGATGTTCAGACGTGCCCAGGAGCGAGCTGTGGAGCACCAAAACCACCATTCAGGTGCCCTGCACCCTCCAGATGCCGCTTGGCTGCGGCCCAAGGTATCCCAGCAGGCAACATTGCCCCAAACTGGGTGGCCCGCGGCCCCCAGCAGGGACAACCACTGGGAGAGCAGCTGCGTGGGGCCACCTGCTCCCAGGCTCTGCTTCCTCTGATTTGGAGCAGAGCTTTAAACCCAGCTCACCTAAGCTCCATAAACAACAGTTACTGGGCTAAAGTGAAAGAGGTCCAAGGGGAGAGAAGATTGTGCCTAGTTGCAGGCTAGCATTAACAACTGTGGATCCCCAAGGCTTCATTCAGGTCTTTGACCACAAACTCATCTACTTCTCTGAGGATAATTTAAAAACTTCATCCTCCTTTCGGTCCACATCAGGAAAACCACCATACCATTGGCAATCTCTGTTGAGGAGCGGCCAGGGTTGGCAGGATGTAGCTGACTGGCGAACCTGCATGACGTAGCCCACCGAGTGCCTGCACGCCTCATGCTTTCAGCTGGTGAAGTCCTTCCTGGGTAGGAAATCCTTCCCTCAAATCTAATTATGCTGAATTGGACTTAGTGCTTTTACTATACTGCAGAATGTGTTACCTCCACTGGGGCACTTTTCTGTGCAGAAATCAAGGTGACTAGAGTCTTTCCAAATGCCTAAATGCACTCTGACAAGCAAGCTTTAAAAGGTGCTCATCGTTTAAAAACATTATTTTGATTTTGCAAAGGGGAGAAGAAGAAGAAACAAGATCCTGGCCTAAGAAGCAGAGGAGAAGCTCTACAAATCAGAAGAGACCAGTGGAAATCACAGTTGCCAAAGAGAGATATTGTCTCTCATCACATACTCTTGTTTCAGACAAAATTTCACATTTGAGATACAGCGGCATTCACTTTTCACTGTTTTGGTGACCACTGGTTTGGTTCAAACCAAGCATTTTAGTTGGAATTCAATCAATAATGATGGATACAACAATAAACCACCTTTCTATTGTGAAATGAGTTGATGATCAGAGATCTCAGGTTCTTGCATTGTTACAAATAAGAAGCCACATTAGATTATTGGCAGTCCGTAAAGGAGCCAAGGGTCTGCACAGCCATAGAGACTTGAGGGCACTTTTTTTTTCAAGTAAATGATTCTACAGGGGTGCTGTACGTATGGCATGTTTTGTGGTCAAATATCATTAGATTGGTTTGTGCGCTTCCCTTCCCCTTTAGAACTGTGCTTATTTACTGAATCAATAAATATTAATTTCCTAATCTTAATGGGTTGTACTGCCAAGTAAAAGCCCAGGGAAGCCAGTGCTGCAGGGGGTTGTTGCAGAGGCGTCCCAGGAGTCACCAAACCAAGTGACTTAAATGGAAGGAGTCCTTACTTCTTGCTAAAATCCTCCACCTGGTAAGTCCAAGCTCAGAAACTTGAAGTGCTCTTAGCAGAGAAGATGCTTGAGAAAAATGCAGGCCCTGGTCTTATTCCCACTGAAGTTAGCAGAAGTTTTGCCACTGAATTTTGATGGGGATGGGATTGGGTCCTGAGACAGCTAATGTGTACCGTGCCCGTCCTGGCAGTGTTTCACCTATCAGCAGACAGATCTGAAGCCATGGGCAGTAGCGTATCTCGCATCTTCATGTGGATCTGTGCTGCTGCTGGATTCCTTCTGCTGTCTTCGCTGAGCCTTTTGCTGACTCATCGTCTTGCTGGCTGTGAATTTGTCCCAATTAGTCATATGCAAACACTATTTAATACAGGAAGTTGTCTTAACGTAAGTTAGAGTATGAACTTAGTACACCAATAAAGGTCAAACAAAGTGACTAAGGCATTACCTACTGTAATAAGTTTCTCTTGTCAGGCACTGGCAAGACGGGAAAGAAAATATATGCAGAATATTAGAGGAGTGACTCAAAAGTTCAGTAAGGGGAGGGTGAAGGGAAGGGAACTTTTGCTTAATATCTCTCCAGAGCTGCTACAGTACAAAATGTTTAATCGTGGAATGAATTTCCAGTAACATCATCCTGAAACACTACTGGTTTTTGATGCAGAATTCTTTATTACGGGTTGGAGTAACCATGTTCGGTATGAGAGAAATGTGCCTAGTAAGGAGACCACAATGCTTACTCACAGCTCCTCAGCCAGTTCATGCTGGGAAGCTCGAAAGCCTTGAACAATTAACTTGAGCAGTGTTAGTAATTTGTATACTGAGATTTTTCTGTAGCGTCTTTTACTCTGGGATTGCTAACACTTCCAGAGCCTTCGTGCCTGTATTAATTAAAATGATCACAACCTAGCATGAGACTATTCAATGAGGAACTGTTTCAGTGTATTGCGCAGTATGTAAATTTAGATAATGGCAATAAAGGTGTACAAGTGAATCCTAAGATGTCACTATTTATGGGCACCAAAATTAATTGTTAATAAAATGAGTGGTTGGAGGATTGAAAATAAGAGCCCATTGGGTAGGACGAGCTGAGGTCTGTAGCTTTACCGCTAGGCTGTCCTGGCCTGGGATCACATCGGTGCTCGCACTTAGCTCCCTTTAGAAGATGAAGGGATAAGAGGTTAGTGGAAGGACTGCAGTGGAAGTGCAACGGAGGCTTTCGCTCCTGTGTGCGGACCCCTTCCTCCTCATGCGCGGGTTAGAGACGCTGCAAAGGCTGCTCAGCATGACCTGCCGGCCCCCTCTGCGGTGCAGCAAGCACCTCTATTAGCAGCACTTCGCTGCCGAAACTCCCCCGCTGCGTCCCTGGGGCAGGGGCTCTGCAGGGGGGTCGGGGGAGGCACCGAGCTGGGAGTGAGATTTCGGCACCTGCCAGGAGATCCGCCGTTTCACCAGGAGAATTCCTTAGGGGCCGTCACGGTGGCTTTGCGACTGTGCTAAAACAGCGCGAGGTTGCTGCGCGCGAGCGACTGCGTCCCTGCGCTTGAACCGGCTGTACCTCATTTTCAAATACGATGTGTCCACGAGCGCTTGTGCGGGGCTTCTTGGTGTTTATGCAGGAGACCTGAGTTTGAGTCTTGCTCTGATTATTTCTCTTCTTGAGGCTCCACTGAGCAGAACAACAAAAATATCAGCAGTCTACAGCCACACTGCCACGGGCTATCGTGTTGTCACTTCTCATAAGCTAAGCAAAGCTGGCCTTTGTCTGTATTTGCATGCGAAACCTTAAAGGGATAAAGGGAGTCTGTAGCACATGTGTCTCTTCTGTGTATCAGATTGCGGCAGGCAGGAGCAATTCATTTCACATAGAAACTCTCTGTGATTTCTATTAAATGTCACGGTCATTGCCTTTTCTTCAAAAGAAATTACAAAAAACCCCCACGGTTGTATGCAAAAATGACTGTTTGTTATGTGAAAGTTCAGACCCCACTGCAGAAATGTTAGCGAGATACAGTCCTGAAACGACATCGTTTTGCCCTGCAGGTGTTTCTTACAACATTATAAATGCATACAGCAGTGCAGGGTTGTTACCTGTGCCTGTCAAAGCTTATTTTTAAAGGGTATCATTACCTTTGCGCTATGAACTGAACAGCGTCGTATGGTTCACCTCTTTAGGATCACTTAACTTCTTGTTGGAGGAAGCCTACCAGACATGAAGTAATCTCCAAGCTCTAGAGTCCCTTCACTTTGAACTGCACCTTCACCTACTCCACAGAACCGGAAAAGTAGATGACTAAGGCACCATAGCTAATGTTGCTGGGGAGCCTCTAATTTTAAATGCGTGGACTCTGGCCGTGACTTTCCTCCCTCCGCGCCGGCCCAGCTGCGGCTCGCCGGTGCGCTGCCTCGGTCTGTCCTGGAGGTTACTTGCGAGTGTCTCTATCGCCGTGTTTATGTAAGGCTCCTCCATGAAGCTTTTCCTACGTTAATCTCTCTGACAGCAAAGCTGTGGCATTGTATTCCGGCCGGGGCTTCTGTGTTTGTCTCACTTTGATTGTAAGTAAGTGCCTTGTAAAAAAACAAACAAAAAAAAAAACAAAAAAACCCCCTAAACCCTGCATCCTTTTTGGTGCCTGTTGAAGTAGCGTGCGCTTTCTCAGCTTCGGATAGAGGCATATAGGTGCTCCGCACGGCCTGTTCAGCCTCCCAGCCGGGAAGGCCACTTGGCTTTTTTCTTCTTCTTCTCTTTTTTTTTTTTTAAGTTGTATCTGTCCCTCTGGCCCACCCCACGATGTGCTTATTCTCTTTAATTGATCTGCGTCTTTCAACGCATTCGCTTGATACGGCCTGGTCGCGTTGCTAGCAAACCTTCGGGAAACGGGAAGGAGTTAGGAACTGGACAGGTTTCTCGCTACAAAGAGGTGGATAGGGCAATAAACGTGCGACCGTGCCAGTACAACGGCAGGGACCGCAGCGTGATTTGGGGCGGTTTTGTGCGTGCGTGCGCTATAGGGCGGATTAGCGAGTCCCACCAGTGACTGCTGGTCGCGAACTGGACAGGTTTCTCGCTACAAAGAGGTGGATAGGGCAATAAACGTGCGACCGTGCCAGTACAACGGCAGGGACCGCAGCGTGATTTGGGGCGGTTTTGTGCGTGCGTGCGCTATAGGGCGGATTAGCGAGTCCCACCAGTGACTGCTGGTCGCGGTGCGTAGGAAACGCGGCGGAGGAGACGCAGGCCCGCCGTGCACGCCGG